GTGAACAAGGTGAGTTGAGGGTAAGCCCGGGTACTCCTAACCCTCTCTCCAGGACTTTCCGATTCCCTCGGTCTCTTCTTTCCTTGGTCTTTCAGCCCAAAACTTCTAGGATTGAGCCGTGTCCTTCAGAGAGAAACAGGCACATCAGCTCAGCCCCGGCCTCTTGGTGCTGCAGCTCCACCACGTGGAAGTGTGTGATGTTCTTCCTCAGACCAAAGGCTCCCATCGGCAACCAGATTCTGGCAGCTTCGGCAAGATAAATGGAAAAGAGAGAGAGAGGAGGTGGGGGGCATTTCCCCTACTCTGAGCTTTAGCTGTTCCTTTCTTTCCTCTTCCTCAAGCCAGGCTTCTCCTGGTCTGTGTGGTACTCAGGCTGGAAGATGCCAGAAGAAAAAAATGAAGACCTCACCACTGCTTCAGCCATTCTTAGAGTTCTGGTGTTCCCACTGTGCGTTGCTGTTTACTCGTCAGAGTCCTCAAATAGCTGTGCGATATATAGTCCATCCAGATTTTATAGCTCCGTTCAATGAGAACAAAAGGGGGGACATGTGTTTACTCCATCTTACCTGGAACCAGAATCTTCCCTAAGATATTCAGTGAAAAAACATACAGAATATGTATAGCATTATCCATCATTTGTGCAAAAAAAAAATGTGTGCCTATGCCTCCAGAGGTAAATGCTTAGAAAAGAGGTCTGCGAGTTTACACGCAAAATTTACTTCCTCCAAGAAGAGCAGTAGAATCTTGATGAGGTAGTAGCGTTGAAGGGACCTTTCACTTTTTATGCTCTGCTAATTTTGAATTATTTTAACTACACACTGTTACTTCTATAACTTTCTAAAAAATGAGATGTGAGGAAAAAGACTGTAAAAAAGTACAGTTAATTCAAAGTATATATACAGAACTTATCTTTTTCTAGATATTATCTAATGGCTCTTAAATCCATTTAAGAGTCAATATGTTCCTGCACATCATAATGGGTCAGAAAGAAAAAAAAATCATAAAAGTACTCAATATGACCATGCATTTTCTTCAAGCCATTTATGTACTAATCAGAATTATGTCTCACAAAATAGTCTCAGCTTGTAATGTTAATTGACTTTATTCACATTTTCCAAGTAAATGCAATATTAACTATAAGCTAAAAACAATACACAGTTCTTAGAAAATACAACCCAAAATTCCCGGTGCCTGAGCTTTGTGATTAAATGTGCCCAGCCTTTGTTCTTTCAGAACTTTAAAGTGAATGCAGTGCTGAAAACAAACTTACAATAACATGAGGAAACTTCCCTAAATATGGTTTTGTTACTGCAAAAGAAACCCAAAAAGAAGCCTCTAATATCTTCATTCAGGTATCCAGAATTCCAAAATGAAAACCAGTATTAAAAGAGCAAGCTATTTTTCCCATCTCACACTAATAGGCTTGCAGGGGGCAAATTTGGGCCAAAAATCTAGACATAGCTCCTTGCATAGGGTTTGGTATTAAGCACACATTTATACTAAAAAACTCCATATCCATTCTATTATACAAAAATCCATTTCAAATGCAAACATTTTGAAAAGACCAGGTCATATTTTTAGGATCACTTTTTAAAAATATTATTTGACTGATCACAAAACTACAATAATGACCTTGTGTGGGTCAGATATTAGCAGTTTGATACCAAACCAACAATAGAATCAAACAATATCAATAGTAGCACCATTTTTTACCTTGGTATCCAAAGGGAGTCCTAGGATCAGACAACTGTACCCTAACGTTCCATATACAATGGGTAAGCCTGGTACAACATTATTCCTTCAAAGGGACAGGGGAAGACCCCAAAACATTTTTTTTTGTATTAGAAATTATGCAGAATTCTCTTTTAGAAGTTATGACTTCCAATAACTCAACAACGATCCTCTTTGCTCTCCTTCTTGCAGTTTAGTTAGCTGGTTCAAGTGACCTCAGCATATACACCTTTCAAGTCACTAGCAATTGATCTTGGATGAAAGGCAACAAATATATACATATGAAATGGCTTAAATATGTGCCTTCTACATTATGAGCAAGTAGGATGACCTACAGCCTACTATAACTTTAGTAAACTTTAAAAATGAATGCTTAGAAATTGTACAGGGGTGGTATATTTATATATATGTATATATATTTTACATATATATATACATATATATCTCCAACCAGAGGTTCCAAGTATTATGACATGTCCTAAACAAGAGCAGTTAGAAGAAAAAGAATCCTGTTGACTTCTAATCCAGCAGACCTGATGTCCAGCAGAGCGCTAGACATTATTGCTTCAATGTTCTGTTACTTTTATTTTATATAAAAAGTAGTAACATAAAAACAAAGAGCATATTTATGACAAGTTGTTTTAATTAAGAACTTGAAACCAAAATCCTAAAGAGTTTTATAAAGCATTTATTTGAAATATCACTGGATTCTCAGTTTTGGACTTTTTCAACGTGAAAGGTGATTTTTAAACTATCTCACTGTCTTGTACATTGTTCCAAGAGTTAGGAACATGATTACAACCACATTCATTTGTAAAAAGAGGGAAAAAAAGTAGGACCACCAAAGTATAACAACTTGAAAATTTTCCTAGGCTCAAAAAGTAAGTGTTTTCTTAAAAACAGAAGGAAAAGAACCCCAACAAACTAAGGACTTGAACATAGGAGTAAAGTAATTCCACAAAGTAATTCATACTGATTTATTCATTGTTCATGCACAGTAAAAGTACTTTAGAAAGTCTTGTTCATTGGTCCTACACTTAAAAAGAAAGACAAAAAATTGGCCAGTATTTGCCTTCTAGGTTTTATCTTTGTCTGGAGTTTTCAGTAGTAAACACATTAAGTACAAGTCTGTTTTCTACATAAGAAAAAGTCTGGCTTGTACAAAGTCTAGAGGAAGCCAGATTTCTAAGGCAGTCCATCCATGTGGGGCCTGAACTACCCTGTCAGGTGAGCGGGAAGGCCAACACCAAAATGTGTAAGAAGTGACTCCAAAGGAACAGTTTTCACAGTCAGCTACACCATCACAAACTGCCACATGAGTGTGATCTTTAGTACCTGCAAGGTTTAAAGATTATAATCGTTAACATCAAAATTCACTATAATTACTAGCAAAGTTGTTTTGAACAACATGTAAAATTTCCTCTTATTAAATATACATCTCAGTGATTAGGAGAGCTCTCTGTGTAAAAGAATTCACCTTAAAACTATGCAAATATTTTAAAAGTTTCTTAAAGCTCACAATACTTCAGTATGTGTTATCAAAGCTTAATACAGTTATGACAGTGCATGAAGATGTTATATGGAATGAAACCAATCTGTGTTCTAAAAATTGACTATCGTACTCCAAAGACCCAGAGTAAAAATATCAAGGAAATGCTCACCCTCACATCTAATGCCAAATCTTCATTCACACAGCTTCAGGTGCTAAGTCGGCATAGGCAAAGTACCTTTCATATCTCATATAAAGAAGCTAGCTCATATCCTTCTAGTAAATTTCTGTCTCTACAGAAGGGGAAGACTTCATTCATTTGATGAAAACCAGCATTTTTAAAAACGCTTTTTCTACCCCAAAAGCAGATGTACTCAAGAGAAGGAGCACTATTTATCCAGACTCGGGCCTATCCACACACCACCGTTCTCTCACATTAGAGTGCAGCTAAGACCTGCTGGCTAGGAATCAAAGAGTAATGTATTTCAACCTAAAGTCTGCAAGTTGTCCATTGTCAAGTCTGTTATTGTTGAGTTCTGTAGAAGAAAAAGCAGAGAAAGTGGGGGTGGGCAACAGTGTGTCGCTGGTATCTTCACATTGGTCCCCGTCGCAATGGGCCAAACGATCATTCTAAGTTCTAAATGGCATTGCCAGCTATTACAGAAGAGGCAAGAGTCCATGATGGGTGGCTGTGACCAGGCCAGGGTGTGACAAGTGACTGTGTCCACACTGTGTGTTCCGAAACAAACCTTGCAATAAAACGTGTGACCATCTTGGACTCAAAGGACACTTTATGACTACTCTACACACATGTCACCTTGGCACTTTGTCTACTGGAATGTATTTGAACTGTTAAGTAACAAGTGCGTAGCTAATAATTTAAAGTGAACTTCGCCCCACCCAGATAATTCTGAAATATCACAATCTACGTGGAAGGACACTGAGCTGAAGCACAGTCAGCTGACCGCTCAGGAACTAGTAGAGTTCCAGCTTCACCATGCGTGGAATCAACAGCAGTGTCAAACTCACGTTGGACTTGATGGCTTTCACGAAGAAAAGTGCACAGAAAGTAAGCAAGTCTTGTGCTGCAAGACGGAATGGTCTTACTGTGATGGAATCTGAAAAGTCATTCAGAAAACTGGATGAAACTGGGCTCCACCTACACGTACGAAAAGAATACTGAGTTGTGAGCATCTGTAGCCATTAAAGGCATTTGGTGTCAGTATCTTAAAAGACTAAGATGCTTTAAAATAAAACCCTTATACGAATATCAAAGATTGAGGGAATTCTCTTCGTAAGTAACCGAATGTCTATGGCTTCAACTGTCTGCCCTACTGCGAGGTAAGCAATAGTCATCAAAACAAAACAGTCTTTTAGAAATTCCCGAGGAATGGCCCTGCATCATCAGCTGGTTTCTTAAACCCGTGTCCTGTTTCTCTTGAGGGTCTCTGTTTTGCTTCGCTTCTCCTTCCTTTCACCCTTCTTAAAAGATCAGGCTCTCAGGCCAGGCTCGGCGGCTCAGCCTGTCATCCCAGCACTTTGGGAGGCCGAGGCCAGTGGACTGGAGACCCGCCTGGGCAACCTGGGAGACCTCGTCTCTACAATAAATAAAAAGTCAGCTGGGCGTGGTAGTGCGCGCCTGTAGTTCGGCCACTTGGAAGGCTGAGGCGGAAGGATCGCCGGAACCCAGCGGGTTGACTCGGGTGGCTGTGAGCGGCCGCTGCACTCCAGCCTGAGGGAGGGAGGGAGACTCCGACTCAAAAAAAAAAAAAAAAAAAGGTCAGGCTGTCCATGCACGCGCCTCTCTAGGCTCTTGCAGAGTAGCAGCGCATGTACTCTGTCATCCACGGGTTCTCCGAGGAGGGTGCCTTCAGCCTCCTGTTCCTGTCCACATCCACGGAGTGAGCGCGCTGCCTCTGAGCCACCAGTTTCCTCTTTTCCACCTGTCTTCTGTTCTTGGCTCGTAATGCTGATTCATGAATCTAAGAAGGGTTCAAAAATGAAAGCATAATGACCTAAATGGCTACGGTGCTCACTTTCAGGAACATTAGCAAGGAAGCTAACTCCTACCCCCATCACCTTCCGCAGGGCAAAGTCAAGGCCTGCCCCTCTGTACACAGTTTCTCTGAGCATCAGAGCGTCCACAGAAAAGCCATCCCCACACGACAGAGCCGGCTCCCCCATCACCGGTGATAGCACAACTAAGCAGCGGCACATGAGATACCAGAAACGGTAAACGGCTGATCTGCACGTGCCCCTAGAACTGGCTCTGGAAAATAGTTGGAACTGCTGAGCATTAAGCATGAATAAGAATTTCATCAAAGAATTTTAAACGTTTTAAAGTAGTATACTAAAAAAAACCCAAGGGATTTTTACCACCTTAGTTATTTTATACTACAGTAAATCCTGTTAAAATTAGTCCCATGGCCCTGCCAGAAATCTTGTGTTAAATGGCAGCTTTGGTGTCTCAAATGTCCCTCTAATAATACCATCTGCTGGGGTTCTGAAGTCTGCTCAATAAAACTTTCATTACGATATTTAATCAGAATTCAAACAGTTTGCAGTTTATCTTTCTACTTCTTTAAATGCATCCTTTGCTTTAGGCTGCAGTCATAGTATCAACGCTAGTACACAGAATTGTTTTGTGACTGTACACATGAGAATCCTCTCATCTGAAATGTCTTCAGGACTTGACACAAGGTGACAAACCAGGGCTCCATCAGGAGAACTGGAGCTCCCGGGAGTAAATGCATTAGTTATGGATGAATAGGAGAAACCTAGCAATTAGAACTGAGAGCCGAAGAACAATCAGACAAGCCAACAACAAGCTTCGAGGAAGGGCCAGCCTATCCAACCCAGGGAAGCTGAGACTGCTCCAGAGGCTGGTGGCAAATCCCAGTGGGCTGTCACCGGCCCTGGCTGGGTAGCTCCTGGGAGCACGCGGACCTCCTGGCCCCCCAGGAACTCCATCCACTTCACCTGGCTCGGTGTCAGCAAACCCTCCTGGCATCAGCTAGCCCCCACCCACAATCCCTTGCTCTCCAGGCAGTCAACAAACAGAACCCTCCTGCCGGTTCATCAGCGTCCCAATGCTGGGCCATGGTACTGCTCCCTAAGGTCTCCCGGGGGCCAGAGCATCCTGGTGGCTATAGATGCGATACCCAATGACAGGTGCACAGCCTGGCTAGCCCCTCTCAAAGCAAAGGCAGAAATGCAGGGGCCCAGGCGTACCTCATGCACAGGGGCAGACGCACAGACGTTGTGAGTTTTTTGGCTTCCTGTGTCTGCTTGTTTTTCTCCCCAGCCATAGAGAGCAAAGGGATGCTTGTTTTCTTTTATCTTACTGGATGGTCTTTGAGGACTTTTGCCTGCTCTCCTGCTTCCTCTAGCAAATAAGGCACTTGGTTGTTGTCGTGGTTCGACGCCGGCAGGTAACCTGTCAGTCTCTTTTGTTCCAATTTGTTGTTCCAGATTTTCTTCTGCATCTCTCACTGGCAGCGCTTTTGGAAAAAGAGATAAAGAGGAGAACACTTACTTCAAAATCATAATTACTCTAACGATCTGGGTTGGAAAGTCATGATGCTTAGCCAGGTCAGGAACTTTCACTGATGGCCCAGCTCGCAGAAACACAGGAACAAGTCAGCACAACAATTTCTCAAGCCACGGATCTCGTTTTAAAGTCAGCAACAGATGTGCCAAGACTCAAAGGCAGCTACTGCCCCTCATGTTCTGAGATTCAGTGTCTGAAGGAGATGTGACAGCTAGCAGGCCTCAGGGCTTTCTCCTCCGAGGCAAGTCCGGTCACCTCAGTGCTCTGCCTCGGGAAAGGTTGGCTGATAAGTCACTGGGCTGGAAAATGCGCCGTATGGCCCTCCTGCATCCTGGGGACAGCGGCTGCTTCCTCTACTTGGAAGGCCGCCATCACAAAAGGGGGAGACTGCTGGCTCCTTGCTGGGTGCTGGGCCGTGCATTCCTGGCAGGAAGCACTGAAGATGGAGACTCCTGTTTTGGAGGGCCTCAGAAATGACCTTGGGAGGCAGGCCCATGGTCCGCACAGCCCTACGTCCTGCTGGCGGAGCCGGGGACACACGGGGAAAGTGGCTGCCCGATGAGGTGAATGTCCCTTTGGAAAGACACGCTGCAAAAAGTATCTGTTTTCCTGTATGACTGACCATGGTTCTGCCAGTTGCTGTTCCCACAGATCTTTTTTACGGCATGTATGTTACTCTGTATGAACACTTTGTAGCCTGTGTTTCCTTTCAGCCTAAACTGACCCTTGAGTTAAGACCTCCTGATGCACCTGGGGCTCCATTTTGTCACTTCTCCCCCGCCTGCTAATGAGGCTCCAGAATTTGGCTCTTGGCCATGGTCTCTAGACTGCAGCTACACAGCTGCATCCCTCGTAGGCAAGACCTTTGCTCTTACTCATCTGACCTGGGACTCCTCTTAACCCACCCTCATGGTCCCCTGTGTGGACCTTACAGAGTGGTTCGTATTTGCAAGAAACCTGTATAGATGGAGGACCTTGACTCTAACAAGGTCCATTTTGTTTCGTTCATTACTAAGCATTTTATGGGACAGACAGCCCACGTCCGCCCCTGGGTTTGGTTGGGGTACTGCTTTGGTGTGCACCATCTGTCTAAACCAAGCACCTGAGGACGCGGGGTGAGGCAGGACACTGGCCATCACTTTGCCATGACGGCCTATATCCGTGTCTCTCAGAGCGGCATGCCCCTCCCCTTTCCTCTCCCCTGGCTTTAAGAAGAGGAGGAAAGGAGGGGCCATCGAGGCCAAGACCGAAAGAAAGTGAAGGGGGAGGGGCAAGAGCCCGCATGACCTCACCGAGAAAGGGAACACAGCCACCAAGGCTCTTCCTGGATGCACTTCCCTTCTCGTCCTCGCCCATTCCAGGTGTGCCTAGCCTGGATCTTCCAAGGCAGCCTACTTCGTTGAAAGGACAAGCTGAGGCCAGCCAGGAAGAGAGCAGGTAAGAGAATTTGAGGAGGAGGGAATGGCTCGTTCAACGGCAAGGAGGGAAGGAAAGCGGGAACTACAGATGGTTCAAAATGGCAAGTACTCAGAAAGCCGGCAGATGCAGGCACAGAGCAGGCAGCCCCGGGCAAATAAGGACATGTTAATTTTATCCTGGAAATGACAGAGAATCCCTGAAGGATTTTAAGCTGGAAAATGACACGATCCTATTTGCATTTTAGGAACGAGGCCGCTAGCCACATGTGTGAGGGACGGGCAAGACCAGAGATGAGAGCAGAGAGGCCAACCAGAAAAACACTGGTCAGACCAGCTGGGAGATGGTGCCAAGGGCACTTTCAACAAGGCCCCTCTGGAGCCAACAGCCCAGCAACACTGGATCAGACCAAGAGGCAGACAGATGGACAGCACACGAGCTGGGAAGCACCTCATGGATACAGGACTCTACAGCTCCCACAGGTGTTGGGAGAGGATGCTCATGCTGTCCCCTGACACGGGTCCCCTAAGGATGAGGAGAGGGTACTTGATGCCACGAATACGAGACCCTCCAGGCCTGGGCACCGGGACCTTGAACCTGGGGCTCAGGGGAGAAGATGGCATGGAGATGAAGGCTGTAGCTCCCTACAAGGACTGGGTCATCCAGAAGAAATGCAGAGCCAGAAGGGAGGAGGCTGCAGATGGGAGGACACTGTCATTTAATCAGCCTGCAGAGAAAGGAAAACCCAAGAGGGAAACACAGGAAAGATAGCTACAAAAGTGGGAAATACCCAGGAGAGAAGTGAGGAAAGAGTTTCAGAAAAGGAATGAGAGCTTAACAGGGCCAAATACTACACAGCAAACAGCATGACAATGATTGACAGCGACTTTGCACTCGGCAGCTAGACTGTCCTGGGTTCTGAGGGCAGGAGCAGGGTGGGGGGTCTGGGTCACGGTAGGGCTGAACAATTAACGGTGTGGAGACCCCCAATTCTCATAACAACAGGCTACTGGGCCCACCCTCTCCACTAAGGATAATGAAAAAGCTGAATGAGATCCAAAAAGTGGTCCTAGGCCAGCAGTGACCACAGATACCCAATACAAGAAACTGATATCCTTGGAGACCCTAACCCTCCAACAATTAATCCTACAAATGACTTCTCAAACACAGTTACCAGTGTTCTGTAGAAGATAACCAAGCCTACAAGGAGAGAGGGCAATAAGGGAAGACAAGCAGGAATAACAGACTTAAGATACTGAAATCATGTACAGTCTACAAAATAACTGGGCTTACTCTCTGTACTTACAGAAAAAGACACACCTGAAAATTACCTGCAGCAGCAAGAAAAAATATGGCAAATATACAAGATGAGAGACAGAACATTGCACTGTAATTTTAATATTTGTAAAACTCTTAAGATAGAGTCCAGAAAGATATGTTTTAAAAATCCTATTAGAAAGAATAAAGTTTAAAATAAAGACATTTTCAGACAAATATAAACGGCATTCCCCACCAGTCAGAGTGAAAAACTGCAATGCCCCTTTCTCAGTAACTGGCAGGACGTTCAAATAAAAATAAATTCAGTCTTGATTTAAAACTGGGCTGTTGAATATAATAGCCATAAACTACAAGTAGCTAGTAAATATAAGGCAAAATTCACTACAAGTAAATAAAGACCCAGTGGCTCAGTTACACTAGTTATAGTTCAACTGCTCAATAACTACACATGGCTAGTGACTACCATGCTGGACGGTATAAATAGAGAACAGAGCCTGTTCCTCATCACAGGACGCTTTATTCAACAGTCTGATTTTTAAAAAATATCTATATAAAATCGACAGATTGGACCTAATGGGATTAGACAGAACACTGCCCTCAACAACTGCAGTATACACATTTTTATCAAGCATCGGTAGAATATTTATGAGAATTTACATATCCAAGGCCATAAAGCAAAATCTTAGTACATTTACAAACTTGAAACTATATGAAAATCCTATGTATTCTCTAATATAATTGCATGAAATTATATGTATTCTCTAACCAGCATAATTAAGCTAGATACAGTAACAAAAAACTTTTCAAAATCTCTCCCAGTTTTGAAATTTAAAACATTTACATGTCCCATTGGCCAAAACCAAAACGTACAGCTGCATGAAAATATGAAAGTATTTAATGCCATTGAGCTATATGCACTTTAAATGGGTTAAAATGATAACTTGTGTTATGTGTATTTTAGCACCTTTTTTTGTAAGTAATGATGGAGGGCATTCTTTCTTAATTCTGTTCTTATTGGGAATGTTTCTTAAGTTTCTTGATATAGTATACTGTTTGCAGTAGGATTTTAGGTACAGGTTTTTAAAAGATGAATATATTTCCTTATGTGAACTATACATAAATGTTAAACTTTATTTTTTCTGAGACTATTTTTTAAAAATCATGAGAATTAGAAAATGTGTTTGGCCAGGCGTGGTGGCTCACGCCTATATTCTCAGCACTTTGGGAGGCCGAGGTGAGAGGACTGCCTGAGCCCACGGGTTTGAGACCAGCCCGGACAACTTGGTGAGACCTCATCTCTACAATAAATCAAAAAATTAGCCAGGCGTGGTGGCACATGCCTGTGGTTCCAGCCACTTGGAAGGCTAAGGTAGAAGGATCACCTGAGCCTAGCAGGTTGAGGCTGCAGTGGCTGGGAACATGCCACTGCCCTCCAGCCCAAAAAGAAAGAAAAAGAAAATGTGTTTAACTGAATAAAAATGCTATGTGACAAAACTTGCATAATGCAGCTAAAGCAATCATCAGAGGGAAATTTATAACCTGAAGGATATACTAAAAAGAAAGGTAGGGAAGGAAAAACAATGACAGGCATCCATCTCAAAAAAGTTAGAAAGGAGCAAAATTAAAGAAATAAAGATCACAGGTTAATTAAAACATATAATAAAGATAATCCACATAGCCAAAAGCTAGTTTTGGATGAAAAAAACAAATTCACAAACCTCTGGCAAGTCTAATCAAGAAAGAGAGAATAAAGCAAAAACTAAGTAAAACTACAGCAAAAGGGAAGCTTTGGGTTAAATATGCACTGAAAACATGTTCTTCCCTCCCCAAATCCCTCCAAAGTGAAGGAAAAAAGGTGTGAAGCCACAAGGACAGGCAGCAAAGGAGGTGAGGACAGGGGGCTGCAAGTATGAATGGAGTTTGGGGAGGAGAAAAGTGGATGAAGGGCAGAAGTGACCCCCGAGTGAGGAGGAGGAATCCCAGCTGCCCAAGGGGACACCCAGACTGCGGCCAACCCCGGCAAGAGCAGGAAGCCTGAGCTCTTCTGAGGACTCGGAGGCCCCCTTGAGGCCAGCCGGGGCGGGGCGGGGCGGGGTCTTCCCCTAGGGGCTGGGCCGACTGCAGTCGGTTCCCAGCTCCATCCCAGGACGCGGCCTGGCAGGCCAGTCGTGAGAAGAGGCGAGGTCCCGCATCGCCGGCCCAGAGCCCCGCAGGGGCCACAGGCCAACCCGGGAGAGCAGGTGGCCCTCGAATCCCCGGAGCGACATATTCGGGAAAAATAAATACGTCAAAAGAATGCAACAAAAAAAGATGGCAAAGAACACGGCACAACAGCTATTTACATAGCATTTCCATTGTGTCACATGCAATTAATCTACAGAGGATTTAAAGGGGGGGCGGGCAGAATGGGAGTAGGTTCCACGCATCGAAGACACTGTTTCCTATCAGGGCCTTCAGCACCTTGGCATTCGCCAGGGTCCCTGGGACCAACCCCCATGGGCATACCCAGGGCTAAGCCACTGGTTTTCAGGGCGATTTATTACACAGCACCGACACTTCCCGCACAGGCCTTTCTCCCGTGCATATGCAGGTGGGAGCCCATTGAAAGCTGTGGAAGGGGGCGGCCACAGAGGGGGCACAGGGAGTGGCTGGACTTGGGACCGCAGACACACAAGCCGGTGGAGACCCTCCTTGGAAGGGGAATGACACGGAGGTTCTGGTAGCGAAGAACGGGACCCGTCCTCAGTGCCCTTCCTACCTCCGGCCCAGCAAGGGGCGGCCAGGCTTGCTCCCCGGAGGCAGGAGACTGGAGGCCATGTTTGGGGAGGCTCGCCCATGAGAACCTGGAGGTGCTCGTGTTCAGAGTCCTCCACAGAAACAGCTGGGTCATCATCTGTGTCCAGGAAACAGGCACCCCGTGCACAGAGCTCCTAAAGCGCTCTTTCTAGCCTTCCTCTCCAACACAGCACACAGGCTGAGAGCTGGCCTTTGAGCACATGCTCTAAGAGGAAAGGGCCAAGACATGCAGGGAAAACAAGGCCAGGAGCGAAGAGCCCTCCCAGAGGGTGTTTTTGTGGCTGTGTGTGTGTGTGTAAAAAGAAATTTGAGAACAGATGCCATATTTTAAAAAAAGATTAAAGAACATACTCGGGACCCAAAAAACATGATTTCTGAACAATTTTATGCTTAGGTGAAAGAATTAAAAACTTCAATAGAAAGGTTGGAAGATAAAAATTGAAAAGTTCTGCCAGGAAACAGAACCAAAAATTCCAATATTGAAACTTTTAAAGATAAAAATGCTAAAGGCTTGATCCAGGGTATACACCATCTAACTAAGAATAATTATAGACAGAAAAAAATTAAAGCAAATGGAACAGAGAAAATGATTCTTAAACCGTACTAGAAGATATCACTGAACTGAAAGAGGCTTCCAGATCGAAAGGCCCAGCCTGGTGAATGAAAAAGACACAGGCACATCACAGCATTTTAGAACAGCGGGGATTTAAAAGAACCTCCTGAAAGACAAACCAAAACAAACCAACAAAAACCAGCAGACACGGGGGCCGTGTACACAAGACAGGTGTCAGAATGGTACGGGACTTCGTAACAGCAAGTCCAGAAACTGTGATTCGACGTCAAATGAATGCCTTCAAACTCCGAGGTTTCTAATCTGGAATTAGTTCTCTTTGGCAAGAGAACTGCCTTGCCAAAGTATCAATCCAGCCTTCAGATATGGAATAAAGGCATTTTCAGACACACAAGGTCACAAAATGCCTACCTCCTATGCTACAGTTTGTGGGACCTACAGAGGGTGTGAGCCAGTAAAAAGAAGGAACAGGCCAAGCCAAAGGGTGGCTTGAGATGTGTTAAGCTGGCAATGGGGTGGAGGAGGGAGGCTGAAGGGATTCCCAGGCAGAAGCAGAGGAGAAGGTGGGCTCAGCCGCTGTGCCAGATCCAGACAGCATGCAACCCAGATTGCAACAGGAGGGCTGGGTTCTCTGAAAAAAAAGTCTCCAAGTGAAACATCAAATGACTAGAACCAGAATGTGTCTGACATATGACAAGTTTTACAGACCATGTCAGGTACTAGTGATGCGTATAAAAAAATAAGCAGACCTGAGCTTGGTGGCTCAGCCTGTAATCCCACGCTTTGGGAGGCTGAGGTGAGTGGATTGCCTGAGCCCGCGGGTTCGAGACCCGCCTGGGCAACTTGGCGAGACTCATCTCTACAATAAATCAAAAATTAGCCGGGCGTGGTAGCGCGCGCCTGCAGTTCCAGCTACTTGGAAGGCTGAGGTAGAAGGATCGCCGGAGCCCAGCGGGTCGAGGTTGCAGTGGCTGCTGGGTGACAGAGTGAGACTCCAACTCAAAAAGAAAAATAAGCGGCTGAGCACAGTGGCTCACACCTATAACCCAGCACTTTGAGAGGCTGAGACAAGAGGACTGCATGAGCCCACGGGTTCGAGACCAGCCTGGGCAACTTGGCAAGACCTGGTCTCCATATTAAATCAAAAAATTAGCCGGGCATGGTGGCATGCGCCTGTAGTTCCAGCTACTTGTAAGGTTGAGGTGGAAGGATCACCTAAGCTCAGCAGATGGAAGGCTGCAGTGGCCTTGAGCATGCCACTGCAATCCATCCTGGGCTACAAAGTGAGACCCCCAATTCAAAAAAATAAAAAATAAAAAAAAAAAGCAAATAAAAAAAGGAAAACAATGATTAACTTCAGGAAAACCATAAATTATAAAACAGAAAATGCAATCAGAATATAATACATGTCAATAACCTACATGCATATGTATTACCTACAAATAATATTCACATAGCCATGATGATGTCCGCAGTAAAAAAGCCAACAGACACATCTGAATGAGAAGACGGTGATCCATGTTGAAAGAAAGTTGACCAGAGTCGGCAGCAGCCAGCGGCCTGGGCAGGAAATGGGGCCAGACTGCTGTTTTTCATCTTAAGCAATTAAAAAATATATATGGACATGTAAATTCTGCTAAAAGCAAAATTTACTTTAAAAATAAGTGTGACGATGAAGTAAGATACTGGAGACAGTCTAGACCACTCTTCGGAGCATGCTGACCATGGACGGGAAGGAATCCCACAGTCACAAATCCTTCCACCCCAAACTCCCACACACATACACACATTCTCTCTCTCTCTCTCTCAACAGTTCCTAACAACTTCTTGATACCCATCCCTAAATAAGAATGAGAAGCCAAGGATCACTAGACATTTGAGAAAAGCCCCTAACCTGAAATAGAGAATTACAAGCAAAAAAAAAAGGGAGAGTTGAAAAGAAGACCATGATGAAGAAAACACATGCAGGAAAGAAAGCAAATGAAAACCTTGTAGGGAGATTGAGAAGATACTGTATGCATAAATCAGGAAACAGATCATATTTTTTAAAGGAATAAAAAGGAAAGGAGGAAGGGAAGGTGAGAAGCAATTCAAGAGCTCTTAAATTAAAACATAAAATAAAGATCCCACAAATGAAAAAGGTAATAGGAGACTTGGGAGAAACATTTGAGAATATCAGCCAAAAAACAGAACAATAACAACAACAAAGATGAACATTGGTACAGGGAAAAAAAATTAGAGAATTCGAGGATAAAGCCATGAGGCCTAGTTATCCAATAAGGAATTCTGAAAGAAAGAAACAAGACTCCACCAAGTGCCCAGCACAAGGGAGGAAAGCAGACTTAGGTCGAGGCAAAGGCTCAGAACACAAGGCTAGAAACTTTCTGAGGGGAAACATGTTACCTGCAAAGGCTGGAGACGCACAGTGACGCAGGACTGTAACGGCGTCGGTAACTGGGGCACAAAACAGCAAAGCCTCCGGTGCTTTAGCGACAATTTCTCCTGCCCAGCCACGCTCCCCAGCTTGCAAGGACAGGATAAAACTAGCTTTTGGCATGCCAGGTCTCAGAAAATTAAGCTCTGGCTAACCCTTCTCAGGAAACTCTTAGAAGACGCACCCCCCAACAAAGAGGGCCACCCCAGAGAGATGGCCTGAGCCGCACAGCCGCGACTCCGACCCAAGAGAGGCGCCAAGGACGGCTCTGCGAGGAGGCCACGGCCTCGGAGATGCCAGCCAGGCAGCCGCCAGGCAGGCAGAAGTAGGTCAGAGGCCCTGGGAGGGACGCCTGAGCCGAGCGGGAGGTGAGCCGGAGGTGCTGGTCACGTTGTGACGGAAGCACAAGAATCATGGGAAATGCTCTGGGTCAGCTCCAGGCAGCTCTTCCGGCGTCGCAGGCCTGTGGACCCCACCAACGCCGTGATGGCTGCCCCAGAAGCTGTGGACACCAGCCAGGTGTACAGTTAGGAGAGCTGCAAAAAGAAGTCCGCAGATAATATTAAAAACGGGGGGGGGGGGGGGGGGGGGGGGATGATCATGGAGTGTCCATAAAAGCCACGTTACATAGAGACCCAGAAATAAATACTGAAGGAAAAACCAGAGGAGTCGCAAGTGGCCGCCTAAGACACAGGTGACTGCTTGTGTGTGGCAGGGAGTGGCCGAGTTTCTGTAAGTCACATGAGCTGCATGATGTATGTGTCGCGGCGTCGGGGAAAGCGAGAACGGCCGTGTTTTATGGAAGCGCAAAAGCGCTCCTCGCTCTGGAATTTAAAACCGTCCACTTAAAAACAAGGGTGCCAGGCTTGCCCGGCACAGGGGCCAGGAGAGCCTCTGCCGGGCCGGAGCGAGGCCGAGGTGCTGCCACCGGGGACCCTGAAGGCAGAGACCACTCTCTCCCCTCCCTGCTGCCTGAGCCAGATTTAGGCAGAGAAGTGGGAGGATTCAGCGTCTCTGAGGAAAGCACACCACCGAGAATTCAGGGCACATCGAAGCGCTGAGCGCAGGCACCCGCCATATCGCAATGCCACCTGACAACTGTGTCTACGCTGGCCACGAGTATTCGGCACTCCACCACAGACCAGGAGGGGAAGAGGTGGGGAAAAGAAAGCCCACTGGCCTGGCAAGTAGGCGTCGAGCAGCTAGCAAACACTCCCACGGGAATCACCTGGAAGGCTTGTTCCCCTGCCCCTCCACCTTCCGTATCCGAGTTTCTCGCCGCCGACGCGTCACCGAAGCATCAGCCATGGCCAGGGCCCAGGTGCGGGAGGAGGAGAGGGGGCAGCTCTGCCCAGGACGAGGCGGGAGAAGCCAGAGCAGAGCAACCTGGCGGGGTCTGGCTGGGAGCCTCACCTCCTCGGCCTCTCCCGGGCTCGGCGGGGCGGGTCTGCCAGGCCGACAGAGGGGTCAGCCCGGGGAGACGAAGCCATCCATCCTGGGCCGCCATTCTCCAGCTACAAAACCGATGAAAGATTGGGGTCTCTCGGGCGTGTCTGGAGCGTTAAGCGACAACACGCGTAATCCCGGGTCGGCGACGGCGCCGCGGAGGCTCTCGCCAAAGCCCCTTAGACCCCGCGGCCGGGCGGAGCGCGGCCAGCCCCAGGGAGCAGCAGGGAGCCCGTCGTCCGGGCGGGGCCGAGGCCTCCCCGCCGCCCGGCCCCAGCCCTGCAGGGGTCCCCGCCGCCCTGGGCCGGAGGGAGGGTGGAGGGCTGAGTTCCAGCCGCCGCCCTCGGCGGCACAGGAGGGCGCTGCCGCGGGGGACAGGGAGAAGGGGCGAGGGGGGCGAGCGCTTCTGGACGCGGACGGGAGGGGCGGAGGGCGCAGAAGGAAGGGGCCAGGACGCGCGGGCAGAGGGCGGCCTCCCGCAGGCGGGGCGGCCCCACACCCCACGGACACGGACGCGAGGCCTCTGGGCAGCCCAGCGAGGTC